ATGGAAAGAGACAGATTGGTGTGCGCACTGCTGGTTGTGACTACTGACCAGCATCACAAGTTACCTGCAGAGATGATTGCTGTCTAGAAGATGATTTTGTGATTCATAGCGGCAATAGATTTTCATAATGGTAATAGACTGGTACTCCCGATGTTTTATACTCAGCAGGTTCCAGATGCAATCTTTCCCATCTCCAAAGGGAGCTGGAGATGACACCAATCTGAAACCCCTAGAGAGTGGCTGCCAATAAGTCCAGAGTGAGATGGACGAAATGGCCTTCCTTCCTACAATAAAGCAGCTTTTGATGTCTTTAGGGCAGTTCTGAAAAGAATATGCCTAGGAACAGCAATGTGGAAGGTAAGAATGGGGAGCATGTGGCTGTCTCGGTATTGTTGGACTGCACCTCCCATCATGACTGCTGGCTAGGGCTATTGGGAGTTGCATCCCACCATATTGGGAAGGCTGCACTTTCCCTCTCTGTAGTGAGGAATTCTGGGAGGAGATCAAAAGTTTGACAACCCCTGGGCTACATGACCAAGCCCCATGGAATTCTGGGAATTCAAGGGCAAGGTTTGGATGGATCGAGTAAGGTTCTTTAATTAAATACTCACTTATTTCATAGAATCAGTGTGTAGAGAGAGCTTGTAGTACCTTTGAGACTAAGTGAAAGAAAGAAGTGGGCAGCGTGATCTTTCCTAGGCTAAAGTCTACTTTCTCAGATGCATTTAGTCATGAGGAAATGGACTGAAGTCTAGGAAAGCTCATGCTGCCCACTTCTTTCTTGCAGTTAGTCTCAAAAGTGCTACAAGATCTCTCTACATACAGATTTTGCAGACTAATGCGGCTATATATTTGGATTTTATCTCATCGAAGTACAATTTCTGGGGTGCCTTGTGTGGGAGGGTAAGGTTAAACTGGCTAAGGAATCATTTCATAGGAAGAAAAAAATTACTATGAATCAATGTTGACCTTAAGCATAACAAGTGTGTTGGTACATATGTGCATAAGCAGCCATTCCAGAGTATATACCCCTTCCTTCACAAAATGCTCCTAAATGAATGTTTCCTCATTTCTCATCTTCATGTGCATGCATTTTATTCATCATACCCTGTTCTCCCCCTTTAACCCTTCTTCAAAAGGTAGAAGAAATTAATTTTTTACAAAATATTCTTGAACCTTTGTCCTTGGGCACCTGAAAAGTACACAACAACAACAGGAGAAATGTCAAGGTAGCAAGTCATCTGCACTAAACAACTAAAGAAAGACAATCTGCTGTCACCTAGCATGCTTTCAATGGTGAACTCTAGCTTATTATTATTATTATTATTATTATTATTATTATTATCCCTATCTTTTATCTGTCTCTTGCTCATACCCACCCACACAGAAGGGGAGAGAAAGCAGACACACTGAGTGTAAATAGCACATCAACACTCTGTTACAAACAGCCTTCTGGACTGTTTATTAAATAATTCAATATTGCCATTTCCCATTGAAGCGGTTGAGAAAAAAGCAGGACTCATTATTCCCATCAGCCTTCCTCCTCCCTGCTGTGTGTGGCCTAGATTTTCGGCCGGTTGTCTCAAAAGGTCTCCGATCTTGACATCGGGTGAAAAGATCATTAGTAGGATTTGCTTATTATTTGGAAGATGCCAGCATGGCATAATGGTTTGCGTCTTTGGCTATAACTCTGGAGACCAGGGTTCGAGTCCCAGCTCAGCCATGGGTGACCTTGAGCAAGCCACACTCTCTCAGCCTCAGGGGAAGGCCGTGGCAAGCCTCCTCTGAACAAATCTTGCCAAGAAAAACCCATGAGAGATTCGCCTTTGGGTCTCCATAAGCTGGAAATGACTTGAAGGCACACAACAGCAACAAACAACACCCCAAGTTGGAGTGATGAGATGAACAAGATGCACCCCTCTTTTTCCCCAGCCCTGGAAAATGAATGAGGTGATAACAGGCCCTTTATGTTTTTCCAATTATTTGTGACAGATTAGCATGGTGAAAGACAGAGGATGGCAAAAACTACTACTAATACCACTACTACTAAGCTAATTTGGAATTTTTCTCTCTGGAGTTCTTGGTGTGGAGCTGGTATATATAGGCTAGAATCCTGGCTTTTAAGAGTTACCCAAAGCCCTCTTGCTGCTTCCTATTGAGCTAAATGAA